TTCATTTTCAAATGACATCAAACTTACAGACATGGTAGAAAGCATGCTCTGGGCTCAAATTAAACCAGAGTTTTTGAAGTAAGAACTGATGAAGGTAAGTAATGGTTCAATTTTCTCTTAAAAATTATAAACTACCTCTCTGTCCCTCTCTTCCCTTAGTGCAAAAAGAAAGAAGGAATGAAAGGAAAATAGAGAAGAAACCTTTGAAGAGTAGGTTTCTAAGATCTCATTTGCAGCCTACTGACCCAAAGATCTCTAGCTTGTTGTTAACATGCTGTGAACAAAAGAAAACAGATCACTGAAAACTATACACTCTCTGGTTCTCCTAATTAGAAAAAGATTCACAGAGCAAGATGAACATTTGCAAAGGAGAAAATCTTTTCTTAGGAGTTTTTGTTATGACTTCTTTTAAAGTGAATTGAGCTGTCAGTCTTTCTCCTATAAATAAAACCCTACTGTTAATTCCAGCTGGTTTTGCTCCATGAGAATATAATTTATAATGGGAAGATAATTCTGTTTTTGAAGAACAAGGTTCCTTTCTTCCTTGTTTAATAACACTAAACCTTCTAATTTTTGCTTTGCATCTTGAGACCATACAGCCAAATAACATCTTCCAACCACCAGAAAAATATTTAAATTCATTAATAACATGTTGTAATAGATTTAACCGTCATTTTAGAGGGGAAACCCTCCATTTTTAATGTGTTGTGTCTAAGGCCTGCACAAGTTCACTGGTTGAGATTTCCTGTGAGAGTCAGAAATGACAAAGACTGAGATTTCCCAATGGGTTTCTATTTCTTATTAGTGGTGGTAAAGCATTTCAATAAAATATTTGATAACATTATAGTCAATAGCACATTAGTAATTTGGGGTCCATAGAGTCAACTAAAAAGCTTATACTCTCCACCCTCCTAAACCACATTACAATAATAGTGACAGAATTCTTAACAATGAACCCAGGCATGGCAGTTCACACCCATAATCTAAGCATTCAAGAGGCTACAGAAGGAGGACGGTGAGTTCAAAATCAGCAGCAGCTACACAGTAAGATCCTGTCTCCACAAACAGACAGAAACATAAACAAAAACAACACTAGAATTACCCACAAAATTAATACACTTTCTGAGAAACAGAATATGAAGACAGGATGTCAGCAGGCAAGAAGCTACTTCAGATTTGTGGAAGACAGGGCCGGGAAGGTGGCTCAGTGGTAGAGCACTTGCCTTGCATGCATGAGGCCCTGGGTTTGATTCCTTAGCACCACAAAAGCAGAAAAAGCCAGAAGTGGTTCTGTGGCTCAAGTGGTAGAGCTTTAGCTTTGAGCTACAGAGCTGAGAGACAGTGTCCAGACCCAGAGTTCAGGCCCCACGACCGATCCAAAAAAAAAAAAAATGTGGAAGATAGAAAGTAGACCAAGAATGAAAACAGAGGAGGCTGTGGGAGTCTATTGTAGATTTCTCACAGAAGAAATGAAGAGGAGGGAGTGCAGACTTCAACATGGAAATGTCATGTATTATTGAATACTTGGCACTTAACACCCCCTCCTCAAGCCTCCACATGCAGATCAGCCTGTGAAATCTCCAGCAGAGCACAATTCTCTAAATAACTCAATAGAACTCTGGTAAGAAATAAAGGAGCTAATTCCAATGTTGGCTTCTCCGTGTAAATCTTTTCTAATTCTGGAATTTAAAGAGTCCCTTGCTTAAAAGTCAGGTGCCTGACTCATTGCCCCCAAAGAGCCAGCCAACACGTTCTATTCATACAAAGAAAAGCACTCTTTTCACTTCTGGTTCTTATCAGTCAATAACCAAAGTATTACTCATATTATCTTTATGATACTGACAATCAAGGTATTGAAAGTAAAGGACTAATATAAAAATGAAATGGCTGTCCCAAGTAAAAACCAAAATAATTTCCAGAATACAAGATGACATTTACAAAATTGTATATTTAGATGCAAAAACAATTATATGTTATGTAAAAGTAGTAATTAAAATGCAGAAAAGGCTATTGGAAATAAAATATATAATTTATAAGCATAAATACTGTATAAAGTTTGGATTTTAGAAATGTATAAAGTTTGGATTATAAAAATGAAATGGCTGTCCCAAGTAAAAACCAAGATAATTTCCAGTATACAAGATGACATTTACAAAATTGCATCTTTAGACGCAAAAACAATTATATGTTATGTAAAAGTAATAATTAAAATGCAGAAAAGGCTATTGGAAATAAAATATATAATTTATAAGCATAAATACTGTATAAAGTTTGGATTATGGAGAAAATAACTCTAGAATGGAGATAAAAAGAATACAAAGAAGGAAATATATCAAAGAAAAATTGCAGTGACATGATTAATCTAAGAGTCTCTACATTTGACTAAATACAGTTCAAATAGTCAAGTAAAGAAAATAGAAGAGGTAGGAATAAGAGGAATATCAAAAACTACATATCCAAAAGGAAAAACAGGTGTTCAGCTTAAAAACCATGAAGGCCCCATGCAGTACATTAGAAAGATCTAAAGATGGGGGGGAGGGTACATACAAGTGTGAGGAAAATTAATATACATGTAATTTGAGAAAATGATGGATTAGCTTAGAGTGATTATGACATTGGATCCAGCAAAGGGTCAATTTCATCTAAAATAGAAATAAACAGAAGTCTCAAGGTGATATCTATACATAGAACTACAGATTAATCTGTCTAACTTAGAAAATAGCAAGTTTCTGGGAGTTATTGGTTAGAAAAAATAAGTTAAAATAATCATAAAATCAAATAAATAAAGGATGTGAGGATAATACTAGTCAATTTAGGGAAAGAAAAACATGGTAATAGAGTATGTATAAATGAGTTTATAGTTTGAATATTAGTTTAAAACTATGTTTTGAAATTAGAACAGATAGAATTTTACTAAATAATGTTTAATGTGATTTAAAAAAAGTTATAACACTATAATACTACAAGGTATCATAAGATCTTCACTTTAGAAACTTGAATGAAAGATTAAGTTAATGAAAGATTAAGTAAAATACTTGTAAAACAATGTGTGATTCACATATGCATATATCAATTTAAATTAGATTAAAAATACTGAGGCCTTAAGAAAAGTAAATGAAGAAATAAGAAAGGATAAATATTAAAAATACTGAAAATAATGTGACAAGAAAACACAGCTTTCCTTCTGAGATAGAGAGAATGACACATACAGGGAGAGAGAGGGAGAGAGAGAAACAGACAGAAAGGCAGAGAGAAATGTCATAAACTCCACAAAAATCCACTAAGCAGCCAAACTATATAAATGTTGATCTGAATACAAACCTTCATCATTTATACATGCTTTATTAATCCATTCATTTATACAACAACAAGCATCTACTCATCACGAACTATCTTTTATAAACATCTTGAAGTGAAAGAGGAGATAGATGATGCACAAATAGGAGACATATGGCATAATATAAATAAAAACATTGTAGTAAACACAAGTAGAGTGGAGAAGCATATATTTTCAAGTGATGGTCCAGGGTCTTCTTCAAGGAAATGAGATTTAAGCATAGTGTGAATTAAGTAAGGAAAGAAAGAGTCAGTGAGCCTGAAACTAAGTAACTGATCAAGAAATGCAAGGGTCTGAATGAGTACTGGGCATTACTATCAAGGAAGCAAGCATGACTGGAATGAGTGAAAAAAAGTGAGTGGGTGGCATAAAGTTAATAATTTAGTGATAAACTATATTATCGATGATCCAGAATCTATTTATTTTCAGCTGCGACATTTTTTTGAGACATTTATCAAGCATAGCTAGTTCTCATGGTGCAAGTATTGCATCAAGTCCTCTATAGGAAAAGAAGAGGACCACCACCCTCCATAAATGGGACTATTACTTTACACCAGTAATAAATAACAAGTAATTAAAGAATTCCTAGAAGCACTAACTTGTAGGCTTTGGGACAATGATTGCCAGATGCTAGATATCCAGATCTGTAGCATATGCATTGCCTCTAAGGACTAAAGACAAAAGCTTGAGGATATATCAGTTCAACCAATAAATTGTGTGTGGTGTTAAGTATTACCTTGCATTTCATCCATGTTACATGGTTTTTTCGTTGTTAATTTTGTGAATGTATTGTTTTCTTTCAGATTTATCCTGAACAGATCTACACAGCATCTGCAATTTTTTTTATTATCATTAGTTTTTATATGAAAACCTCTGTATAGAGGACTTCTGGCTCTGGATAGAGTAATACGGACAGGATTTAATACTTCATCTGAAACAATATAATCAATGCAAATTTTATTCAGCAATGATGTGCTCACATTCAACATCAGGAAGCATAGAATGGGGACACCTGAGAGAGAAGAGGTCTTGTGGCAAAATGGTTCCTAAGCAAGAGCATAGCGCAGCTGCTAGCTTGATTTGTCACATTTCCATGCATTGTGCCAGAAAGGAGTCAATGAGCCAAAATGGACTTAGATACTTACGGCAATAGTAGACTGGTGTCCAATTTTCAACCCTTACTTTCACATGGCCAAGTGCTTGCCTTTCTAGACAATAAATGTACATTTCAGGACAGCTACCTCAAGCTCAGACTAAGCTTCTTAATCTTCGTGAACTACTTGCAAGGTTAGCCAACATTTTTGCTGGATGAAGAAAGTTATTCTTATGATTCTGATCAGGAAGCAAGATTACATTTGATCCCAGAAGGAAACAGTATCTCTTTGTTTCTGCCTATTGTGTAAGCATCCTTGAAAAGACAGTCCAGGACAAAAAAGTCTCATCAGACATGTAGAAATGCTATGGAGAATTACTTCTCAACAGGAAGATGCATAAACCCTACAAAAGACGAAAAAATCTTCCTTGTCTTTAAATCATGATTATTTTAAAGATATACGTATACAGGAGAGGCTCAAAATATTCTCAAAATAGTTCTGAAGTCAGATGGTTTTTTTTCAGATTGACAAATTTTTATTGTCTAGAAATATATTTATATATGTATATATAAAAGATCCCCCGAGTGGCTATTCTCTCATTTCCCCATCTTCTTCTTCTTCTTCAACACCTCTGATATAAAGGACATTATTACATCTTATTAAAACTTCACCCAGATGTCCAGACAATGCCCCATCTATGTATTCTTCTGTATTTGCCAGCTGCATATTCATATAGCCATCTACAGATACCAAGTAGCATTTGTATTCCATCCCCCACTTAAGTTTCACCATCACTGGCTTTCCTGTTAGTCCATTGAGGAAAGGTTTGGGATTGAGAGGTAAACTCATAGCGAATATGGGGGGATACCACAGGCTCCCTGCCTCAGACCAGAGCTGCTACTGCGAGCATGAACCCATGAGCGAAGAGAGAAATGGCCCCAGATGGTTTAGCTTCATACTTTCAAGATAAGTTATTTCATATTTTATAAGAATATATGATCTTCACCTTATAAGTTCATACAGAATCTAGACAAAGAAGAATAACATTTCAATTTGGTTTATGAAGCTATCATCATTTTAATACTCAAATGCCAAAATATAGTATATATAGTGTAGAGCAATCACTTCTACAAATATAATTGAAACCCTAAATAAAATATCACTGCTCCTAAATATATAGTAAATCATGAACATTTAAGGTTGAGTCCAGGAATAGAGGCATTTAAAATGAAATGATTAAAAGCATAGGTACTGATATAAAACTACATGTTGTCTTGAATCTTCAAGCTGTCACTTCTCAGATGGGTGAGCTTTCTTCCTTAATAGTTTCATGGAGTCTGGAAAAATAATAAAATATGCATTATCAAAAACAGAAGATATACCAGTAATTACTTAGCTAATTGGAAAAACTAGAGTGGCTTCTTGTGACACTAAAAGAGCACTTAAAATTAGAATTCCTCATCCAGAAAAATATTCACACCCATATCCACACATGTGCTTTTTCTTTAGCAGAATAGAGAATATAAATATGTATAAGCCATGTATAATAAATTATGCTACAGTTAACATGTTGGTTGAGCCGAAGACTGATGGTTTAACTGGGGCTCAAGTCTCTCTTTCCATATTTTGGAAAGAGCTGCATGACTATGAAGATGAGACCAGCTGGTGGAGGAAGGCCTCCATGTGAGCTTCTCTCCCAATTTGTTTTTGGATCTTCCAAAATATGCTTCCTGGATTCTGCTAAATAGTGTGCGATTCAGAGGAAGGCAGGACTACAGTACCCTTTCATCTGATTCCATCATTTCCTAAATATTAGCATGGAACACACACGTTTCTCTGTGTGAGAGAATCCTACAGGTTATGCATAGCAAGAATCAAGGATCTTTAGGTGACATCATGGCATCTGGCTTTCACATGATCCTAAACCCATACCAAATGCTTCATTTGTAAAGAATGAAGGGGACCATTCATTAATCAGTAGATACATAGTCTTTCCTATAAATCTTCCTTTTCAGGTTCATCCACATGTCACAAATCCAACTGGAGAATCAAATATCTCCAAGTTTTAGAACCTGGATCAAAAATTCTTAACATTGTTACGTGATTCATGAAGGCAGGCAATGTCTCTTTACGTTCCAGATTTACTAGAGCACAAGAGTTTTCCATATAAATCCGGATCATCTATCATAAGAATGTATTGTGATGCCAGGCACTGGTGGCTCCTGCTTGTAGTGCTAGTTACACAGGATGCTGAGATCTGAGTATCACGGTTCAAAGCCAGCCCCAGCAGGAAATTCCTCGTGAGACTCTTATCTCCAATAAACCACCAGAAAACCAGAAATGATGCTGTGGCTCAAGTGGAAGAGCACTTGCCTTGAGCTGAAGAGCTCAGGGACAGCACCCAGGCCCAAAGTTCAAGCTCCAAAGTGGACCAAAAAAAAAAAAAAGAATGTATTATGAACTCTCAGAAGCGATTTCTAGTGGTCACTTCATAGCCTGCATGTGAAATGAATCAACATACAGAAGGAATAGGTGAGAACTGATAAGAGAATATGTGCCACACCGGTTACGGCTCAGTCATTCACTCCTTAGTTGTATCTATTTTTTTTCCTTTAAAATTCCTAGCAGATTTGTTTCCTTTGGGGCAGAGATGTGCTATTCCTGACTTGTGGAGGAAGCTATGTACTCAAGGCAGAGCTGGTAATCATACTCTGTTTTCTGCACATAGCTATGGCTTGAGGCCTTGGATGCATGGTGAATATTTGTTTTGGTGCAACCTTTGTTTTTAAGGATATTTTCCCTTTCCTTAAAGGGAATGAGATATTCTTAGGTCTACAGGCTATCGTTTTGGGATCAGAGTTAGGTTAAAGTAGGTACTGAGGAAAGCACAAAGAAAGAGAAAACATCTTTCCATTTTGACACATTCAAAAAATTGTGGTTATTTTTATAGGAAATATTACGTCCCTCTGGACTTCTTAGTTATATGAGCCACTAAAGTGCTTTCATTTTAGTTTTGTTTGTTTTTTTTTTTTGAAGAGCAGAGGCATTTTTATTTTGTAATTGTAAGAATGTAAGAAGACTTTTATTTTCTCCACATTTTCCTGGGCAGAATTAACAATAATTTCCAGAAATTTGGATGTAGCCTAACATGAGAATATTTTTAGTGCTGGTAAGATTTTCACATTTATTTACAGGGCTTCTTGTTTCTCATGTAGCTTAAAAGAGAAGGCCTCTAATTATCCAGCCTTCACCCACAATGGGGCTACTTTTCTTCCTATATAATCATTAGCTCAACAAAAATTCTTTGCTCTTTTCTTCTGATGGCTCAAAATAGTTTCAATTCATGAGCATATTCAATGTAAGATGTTTTTTGGTCTGTTTGTGGGTTTTTCTCTTCAACCAGAATTGTTCTGAATATTGAAAGAATATTGCAAAGATCACTAATAAATATTGCAGTGAGATTGAGCAGTTGTTAATGTTTTGCCACATGTATCCTCTTCCTACTTCCATGTGTGTGAATGCACATACATACAGATAGGATCACACACAGATGCTTGTCTACTGCTGGGACGTGTATGACCTTAAATCTATTTGACTTTAAATCTATATGACCTTAAATATATTTCATGATCTTTCCTGGTTGTGTGGGCTGACTGGAACCAGTTGGGTTATTGGACCTTCGTGTGTTTTACATTACATAGCATGTGTTGATCTTATAGACTTAAAATCTAATAGCTCTTATAGACATGGTTAAGGAGTTAAATCATTTGATTTCAGCTGATGAAGAAGGGAGAAAATTGTGAATGGGTCTAACTTAATCAGAATAGTCTTGGAAGAGGGACTGGGCCCTCCCTCAACTGACAGATTCTGGTTGCTTATTTGAACTGGTAAATTTGGAGGAGACCATTTGGAAAGACATTGCAAGCAGAATCTTGGAAGCTCAAGTAGGTAGCTCTATCATTTCAAGCAATAGTAGCAATCAGCCAGCCAGCAAAAACATCTATGGCCATTATAGTCACAATGAAACAAAGGCTGCCCCAACTCTGATTGAGCTTGAAAGTCTATTTTTCCTTTGTCAAGCCTCCAGATGCAAACATGGTTCAGGCAACTTACTGCAGTGTGATGAGATTCTTCATAGGGATTCCGATTCAGTCACACTTGAACTCTTGAGCCATAGATACCATGAGATGTATTTTATTATCACAATAATAGAAAACAAAAGTACTTAATGAAACACAATAACATAGTAATTCAAATAAAGCAGTCATTATAATATTATTTCATTAAATAAATGTATAGTCAGAGGATAAAAAGATTGGAAGAAGTAAGGAAGTGAAAAACCTCCCATGTTCCTGGATTGGAAGGATCAACAAATGGAGAAAATGGCAATACTTCCCAAGGCTATCTACAAATTCAATGCGATACCTATCAATATTCCAACCTCATTCTTCAATGAAATAGAAGAAGCAATCCAAAAACTCATATGGAACAATAAAAGACCCTGAATAGCAAAAACAATCCTTAGCAGAAAGAACGGTGCTGGAGGAACTATCAATACCAAACTTCAAACTCTACTACAAAGCCATAGTAATCAAAAGAGCTTGGTACTGGCACACAAACAGACCTGAGGACCAATGGAATATAAGGGAATACCCAGAAATGAACCCACAGCCACCTAAATGAACCTATAGCCAACCAATCTTCAAAAAGGGAGCTAAAAAATAGAATGGAAGAAACACAGTCTTTTCAGTAAATGGGACTGGCAAAATTGGTTAAACACCTGTAGAAAACTAAAATTAAATCCTTAAATATCACAGTGCACTAGAATGAACTCCAAATGGATCAAAGACCTCGAAGTTAAAGCAAACACCCTGAAAACATTACAGGAAGGAATAGGAGAAAACTCTGGGGCTCCTTGGCACAGGCCGAACTTTTCTTAATAAAAACTCAGAAATACAACAAATCAAAGAAAGGTTGAACAAATAAGATTGCATGAAACTGCAGAGCTTCTGCATGGCAAAGGACAGAGCTAGTAAGAGCAATAGAAAGCCCATGGTCTGGGAGAAGATCTTCACTAGCTATACAAAAGACAAGGGCCTCATATCTAAAATATATTTAGAACTCTTTTTTTTGCTTTTTAAGTCTTTTTGTTTGAGGATCATATAGAGCAAAGATTTCAGGCAGAAACATGTAAATATTTAAACCAGTCCAAGTTTCTGTGAACATTTCAGAAATGCTGAGATCACTAGAAACTGTTCCTATGCAGGGTAAGTATTTTACACTGTACTCAAAATCTTCTTCCTTTTAAATGTAGGGTCTGAAATTTTATGTTAAATTGGAGGAAGGGCAAAAGCAAAATCTGGAGGTTTATATGACACTCAAAAAGCAGGTCACTAAAACAACATATGTAACATCCATATAAAAATGTGATCTCGGGCTGGGAAGTTGGCTCAGTGGTAGAGTACTTGCCTTGCATGCCTGAGGCCCTGGGTTCGATTCCTCAGCACCACATAAACAAAAAGAAAAAAGCCAGAAGTGGAGCTGTGGCTCAAGTGGTAGAGTGCTAGCCTTGAGCTGAAGAGCTGAGGGACAGCACTCAGGCCCAGACTTCAGGCCCCACGACTGGACCCAAAAAAAACAAAAACAAAAAAAAAATGTGATCTCAAAGTTTTGAATCAGCTTGAGTAATTTGGGAATGGAGTCCATGGGATTCTTTAAATACAAGATCATCTCATCTGCAAAGAGGGAGAGTTTTACTTCATCTTTCCCTATTTGGATCCCCTTTATGTTTGCATCTTGTCTTATTGCTGTAGCTAGGCATTCTAATACTAAATTGAAGAGAAGTGGAG